ACGCCGTGCCGCCGAGTCCCGTGGCTGTGGCCGTGGGCTTCTGGCAGGAAGCTACGGCCGCAGCTCGGTGGCTCGGGGGCGTCGCAGCGTGCCGCCGCCGCCGCCGCGCTGCCCCCCGGGCACGGCGGCGGCGGCAGCAAGCTTGGGCCCAAACGCCGTGCCGCCGAGTCCCGTGGCTGCGGCCGTAGACTGTGGGCCGGAAACTGCGGCCGTAGCTCGGCGGCACGCGGTTCTGTTCAAGTCGCCAAGCGTGCAGCAGCGCCGAACCACGCTTCCCGGCCTCGGCGCATGCCTTCAGGGGCCCCCTATCGCTGGGCGCACCCCTCCAACACCGAACATGCGCCCGGGGGGGAGGGCGGCCCGGGCTGCCCAGGCCAAAGTGGGCCGCCCTCGAGCAAGAGGCGGCCGGTCTGTGTGCTGAATGAATGAATGAACCCGTTTGGATGCATGCGCATCGCAATCAGCAGCGCTGGCATTAGTATGCTCGGGGAATCGGCTGCAGACAGCGCCGCTTGGCTGCGTTGCCAGGTAGGCCTCCCGGTAAGGATGTGCCCCATGATGGGCATGATGGCCCCCCACCTGGAGGGTCATTGGGGACATCATCCTCAATCATGCATCATTCTCCCTCCCGTTTGTTCTGTTGGCATCCCAGCAACCGTAATATGCTTTCTAGGACATGAGCCACCACTTTAGGGTGAAGGTGGTTAGCAAGACCACGGCCCCCAGGCCTCTAGACGGGCCACAGCCAAAAAGATCCCGTGCAAGTAGACCAGGACAACAAGCTCCCTTCAATGTGCCAGGGCAGGCCAGGCGGCGGGGTGAGAGGGATGACAACGAGGATGAGCGAGCACCCAGCGGCTTCTTAGGCTGGGGCGACCGGCAAGGACGCAAACGTGATCACTGGGAGGCTCGGCTCGGAGCGGACGTGGATGCCTTCTTGGCCTCTCTGCCGGGCCGGGCGGCGCAGCAGCGGCAGGAGCGCCAGCAGCAGCTCCAGCAGCGGCAAGCCCAGCTGGCCAGCATGGAGCCGCTTCCTTGCCACTTAGCAGCAGAAAATGGCAGCTGCCT